GTGGCAGACCTCTCCTGACCCGCCCGCTGCTCCCCTCGTTGATCTGCCTGTTCTGCTCCCCACTCTGTCTCTGGTGAAGCCTCTCGCCTCCCCTGCACCTCTGACCTGTACCCCAGTTCTGTATGCATAAATAAATAAATCTTAAAAAAAAAAAAAGGAGTCCTCATACTCCAAAAGATTATAAGCCACAATACAATAAAGAAAATACTGGTCTAGGAGTCAAAAGTAGATCTAGCTAAGCTGCCATCTTTCACCAGGCAGTTAACTTCACAGGAATTCTATGTAAGAGATGTGTCTGCATTGTTCATAAGGTCTCTCTTTATTCTAAAACGTGTCCTGTCAAATGCTGTAACAATAATTTAGAACACTTAAGCTTTATAGTTTTGGAAACAAAACAAGGTACAACTAGAATACAGATGTACAGAGAAACTTTTGTGGGAACAAAAGAGGAAGAGAGAAAATGAGTAACTATGAATCTAGAGAGGCTACAAGAAAAATCAAAAAATGAGTACAAGGGGCTTTTGAGGAATTTCTGATGATCACTTCAGAGGAGAAATTAAGGTTCTAATTAATGAGATTTGATAAAAATTGTGATTTTTATACAAAGATAGGTTATGATAAACAAATATTCTTTAACGAGGTAGAGAACTTTTTTAATATGGAATTAAACTTAATGTATACACACCATTAAAGACATGCTTGACTCAACTATTTCAAACATACATGTAATAAAAGAACTTCAGAGAAATTCAAAAGAATGATTCTATTATGTACTCAAGGTTACTTCCTAATTTGTCCCAACTTTTGTTACCATTGATCTTTTTCTTTGACAAAACAGAGTAACAATCTTATAAGTTAAAATATAGAAGACTCCTGATCATGTCATGAAAAAAAATCATGTGTGCAGAACAGAGAAAACAAATTTTGTTGACCTTTGAAAATATTTAAGACTAACTTGCTAATCTGATAAAAAGAAATATGCTCCCCAAAAGCAATCTGTGAAAGATAGGTGTAAGCTGTGCTAAAGTACTAGATTATTTTTCAAAGAATGCTTAGAGATGCAAAAACAATGGGCAGCAAAGGACAGGTAAAATGAAAAGAATTCTACCAGCAACCATCCATCATGTTGTAATTACGAAACCTGTTACTAACAAAAGACAGTAAAGATAGTACGCTGAAGGGTTACTCTGCCCTCACAATATCATTATTACTCCTCAAACATTCTTATCATTCCTTTATTATTATTCATAATCAAATATTCATAATATTCCTTAAAAGGCCCACAAGCTGCTCCATAGCTCCCCAATAAGCCTCTCAAAGACCCTCAAAAGGATCTAAGTGCTGCGACCTCAAAAGCCATCAGTCACCTGAAGACAAATTCACCTGGTCCCAAGTCACAGACGGAAGAATCTTAATTGTCTCCGTAAGAATTTTTCAAATTATTTAAGAAAAAAAAAAAACAAATTTTGACATATGCAGAGTGCTTATAGAAGCTGTTAAGAATCATGACAACTGCTGTACTGTGCTTTCCTTACACTGCCACCAGGAAGCCTCTGACAAGCCCACCACATTGACAACATTACTCAGCTGTGACAAATGTAAAAGCAGGTGCTGCACTAGCATAACTGAGTCCCCTAGGCAACAACAACAATAAATCTACACTAGTTTTGAAGTTAAAACTAGTCTTCAGGGCCCTCTCTGGTGGTCTGATAGGTTAAAACACAGCACTGCTAAGCTGGCCACACAGCCACTGCAGCATAAGTTCTACCCACATGGCACAGCAGACCTCTCCTGTCTCACCTGCTGCTGCCCTCATCAGTGTATTTCAGTAAATCTGCCTGTTCTGCTTCCCCTCTGTCTCTCAAGTCCTGCACCTCTGGCCTGTGCCCCAGTTCTTGTATGCATACATAAATAAATCTTTTTAAAAAAATTTAGTATTGACAAAACAGTAAAAACAGACTGAAAGAAACTATTGGTAATAGGATTCAAACCACAGAACACTTTAATGGATAATGGACTCTTACTGAAGAAAACTCAGACTACATTTTACTTTCATAATAAAATATATTTACATACCAGCACAGAATATCCCTGGGACTTCACTCCTGACTATGATAGTCCGCACTTTCTTATCAGATTTTAAAGCATCCACAGATTTTGATAGCTAAATAGGGAGAATAAAGAGAATAGGGTGAAGTCATTTTCAGATTCATGTCAAATGACATCTTAAATTAGAACCAAAATTTAATCCTTATACTCACCATTTTTATGAGATTTTTACTGATAGAATTTTTGGCATAAGCTCTGTTTATTCCAAGTACCACAATTCCTAGTTAAGAGAAAAAAAGCACAAGCACTTGAATTAGTGAGGTGTGAGGGCTCAGGCTCACACACAAAGCTGTTCAACTGGCAGCTCTGCCTCCTCACTGCAAGACATTTATCCTTATCTGTGTGTCTAGATTCTTTTTCAAGATAAGCACATTTAAAGACAAGGCTATCTGCAACATATTTATAACATCAATCCAGAGCTTTATATTCACTGCTTTTTTTCAGTATTTTAGAAAAGAACTTGATGACATCAATGTCCCCTTCAGTTTATCGCTTCCAAATCATCATACCAAAGTTACCTGCCACATTTAACTAAATTTAACTAAGTCATACTAACTAGAGGGAGGCCAGGCTTATAAGGAAAATTCTCAATATTAGCATACTACTTAAAATAAGGTTTCATCCCCTTCAATTATATGTAAAAAAGCTAAAAAAAAAAAAAACGTGCACATTCCACTGTTTTGTATACCAGGTGTTAACACCTCATTTATTCTTTTTGTGGATTTCAATATTTCCAGCTGAGGCTTTATTCATGAGTTCACCTATACAATTTGCTTATAGGCACCTCCATTTAGAAGTCCCACAAGCAAGTCAAAGCTTTCTCGCTCCCATAAATGCGCATCTCTGCCTCCAAACTCCTCATTTTATCAGAGAGCATCATCTAAACAAAGCCTCCAGTTCTAAACACTGCAGTCAGATCAATTCTCTGAAGACAATTCTATGCACAGAAATCAGTCCTGCTTAAAATCCTTTAATTAGTTCTAAAATATCTTAATTCAAAGACTTGGCTATTCAGTCCTATTCAATGTCCTGTCCCAATAAACACAAATTGCTTTTCACCTGTTTGGGGATGGGTATGGAGGTGGGTTGTCATTATTTGTAACTGTAAGGTTAAACTAAAGATAACAAAATGTAAATATGTCATATCTGGGCAATAAATAAATAAATAAATAAATGTACAAACCCATTTTTCAAAGAAAGTACAAAGAACTTTAGCTCTGAGTAGAATAAATTTGCAAAGATCCCAAATAATCTCAGTATACAGAATATCACTATGGAAAACTGATATCTAGTAGGCTCTGCATTAAGTACCTGACTGACCTTGGGTAAGTCCCAATACTACTTACAACAGCAACTACACTAGCTGAGCATTTTAGTATGTGCCAAATACTGTTCCCAGTACTTTTGTTTATGAACTCATAAAATCCTCACAATCCCCCAAAAAGTAAATAGTAGATATCCTTACTGAAGACAGTGAGGCTTGGAAAGGCTAAGTAACTACTGTTAGCTAGTGAATAGCAATCTAACGCCACATTTGAAAAAATGACTTTACCCATTGTTTAAGCTTCAGCTTCCTCATGAAGAAAACCAAGGAGCTGAGACCAGATGTGTTCATTCAAATGTACTCAACACACATTATGGTGCTCAGTCTTCAAGGAACAGAAAGTAGCAAGGGAAAGCAAATGAACAAAATCAAACACTGTATAATTCAAAGTGCTTTTCATGCTATAAATGATACTACAGTAACTTCTAACCATGAAGTGGTCTAGTGCAAGACAGGATAGTAAATGAAAGCTTATCCAAGCATATCCATTTGAGTTGAGATTAGAAGAATGGGTAGGAGTGAGAGTGTGAGGGGCGGTGGGGGTAGGAAGGCTGAAATTCAGGCAGGAGTAATACAGGACAAAATATAAATAGTAAAGGCCCCCATTAAAGTTCCTGTCACTGAGGAGGAGGAGGAGAGAGACTAATGTTGGTGAGGCAGATAGTTAAGGCCCTGTTAAGAATAAGGAGAAACCAGTAAGTGAGCATAAACATACACACATTAATAAAGAAGAAAAAAATTCATTTCTGTATTTGGAGGTCATAACAAAATTATATCAAGCTAAAAGTTACAAGGTAAGAGCTGCCTTTCAGTCAACAGATAAAAGGTCTGGTTGAGGCTAGTAGATTTAGATAAGAAGGAAGTGAAGGAATTCCAGACCTATTTGACAAGTAAAACTGACGAAACAGTTAACAGAAGTGAGAATTGGAAGGAGCTGTTAGAAATGTCTACGAGGTGTTTTACTTCAGCTATTGGAAGAAACTGATGACACTAAATGAGAAAGAGAACTATTGAAGACACCAGGAAGGTGAGAGTTTGGTTTTGAATTAAAATAAATGTGTAGTGCCTCTGAGACATTCCAAGTGGATGACCTCTGAGAGCAGACTCTGGAGGTCTGACTGCTGGGGCTAAAATCCCAATCTGCCCTTTACTAGCTATGAGCCCTGGTGTAAATTACTTAACCTCTCTGATCCTCAGTTTCTTAGTCTGTTAAATGAAGATACTCATGGTTCCAAATTCTGGGACTATTGTGAGGATCAAATAATATGATACATGGAAAGCTCCCAGCAATCAGTATTATCCCTTCTGGCACAAACCAGCTAGAAATACAAGTATCACCACAATACCTTTCAGATATGATACTGTTGGTATTACTACTAAAGGTTAAAGTGCCATTAAAATGCTTCTACCATAGTTAACTTCAGCAGTTTGGGTCCCAGGTCTGAGACCTGATGATTCAGGCACTTCCACCTAAAAGAGTTGGAAATTTGCTCTATTATTTTTTTTTAAAGATTTATTTATCTATGCATACAGAACTGGGGTAGAGGCCAGAGGCACAGGAGTGGTGAGAGGATTCACCAGAGACAGAGTGGGGAGCAGAACAGGCCGACTGACAAAGTACACTGCTGAGGGGAGCAGCAGACAGGTCAGGAGAGGTCTGCCGCGCCATGTGGTCACCTACGGGTCGGGAATCAAACTCGTGCTGCAGTGAATTTAGATTCTTAGTGCTGTGCTTTAACCTGCTGTGCCACCAGGGAGGGCCTGCTCTATTATTTTAAATGAATTATGCAATACCTAACAACTATACCATCAAGTATATCAGTAGGCTACCAACATCCCAAAATGGAATAAAATTTTAGCCTTTTCCAGAAAAGTATTAGCATTTGCAATTGTCCCACTTTATTTCACAATCCAATGACTTCTCTTATAATTCTCTTATAATGCTGTCAATCCCCACTTTCATGTCCCAATACAGAATTATTTTGATTCAAAGTTAGTAAGATCATTTGTAAGAGTATCTTTCTGCTCACTGATGGTATGCAATTTATCTTGGCATGTTATTCCTTCTTCAATTCAGGCTATTTTATTATTTTCTTATCATATACAAATAAATTTGGTCTGTATTTTGCTCCATACTCTATACTTTGAAACTCAGGAAGCAGATTGGAGGAAGGACACTGCTGATTCTCAAAACAAACAATGGTCACAATACTGACTGCATAGGTAATAAAGAAGAAATAAAGGAAATTGGAATTCAAGAAAGGAGTCTTCAGGCCTTCCCTGGTGGCATATCACAGGGATAAGACGCAGCACTCTGAAGCTGTCTGCAGTCACAGCAGTAGTTGTTCAATCCCTGGCCAAGGAGCTAATCCACATGGTGCAGCAGACCTCTCCTGACCCACCTGCTGCACCCCTCAGCTGTGGATTTCAGTAAATCTGCCTGTTCTGCTCCCCACTCTGTCTCTGGTGAATCCTCTCATGTCCCCGCCCTGTACCTCTGGCCTGTACCCCAATTCTTGTATGCATAAATAAATAAATTTTTTTAAAAAAGGAGTCTTCCACCCCCAGTGAGTAGAGACTAGAGACAATTCTAACAATTTCTCCTAACACGGAATATTTACACTCCTGCTATTCTTTACTCTGCAGATCTCTTGAACTTTCTTTTCTAAATTTATTCCTAAGTACTCTAACTTGCACTGCTATCAAAAAGAATAGAGTACTTAGGAATAATGTAATAAAGACTGTTCAAGACTATAAAACATCACTGAAGAAACGAAGGGAAACCTAAGTAGATGACAGCACCTCCCAAACTGATGTGTACAACTTTGTCGAAATTTCAGCTGCCTTTTTGCTAAAAAGCTGAATCTGAAATTCAAATGGAATCACCAAAATCATCTTAAAAAAGAACTAAATTGAAAGATTGAATTGGAAGACTTAATCGGGATACCTCCTGATTTTAAAACTTACTTCAAAGCACAGTCAACAAAACTGAATTCAGAGTCCAGAAATAACACACATATGGTAATTGGTTTCAACAAGAATGCCAAGAGCACTCAATGTTGAAAGAATAATCTTCTTAACAAGTAGTGATGAAACAACTAGAAATTACCACAAAGATTGGAATTGGATCCTTCCCTCACACCATAAACAAGTACTATCTCAAAATGAATTAAAAACACAACTGGACAAGCTAAAACTATTAGGAGAAAACATGAATATAAATTTTCATTATCTTGAATTAGGCAACAGTGTCTTAAAATGACAACAAACATATAAGCAACAAAACAAATATATATATATAAATCAGACTTCAACAAAAGTAGTGAAAAACTACCCAGCGCAAAGGAAAAAATACTTGCAAATCATACATCTGATATAGGGTTAACACCAAAACTACATAAAGAATTCTTACAACTCACAACAAATGACAAAAAAAAAAAAAAAACTGAAAATGAGAAAGAGTATGAATAGGTATTTCTTCAAAGGAAATATTCAAATGGCCAACAAACACATAAAATGATGTTCGACACTATTTGTCATTAGGGAAATGCAAATCAAAACCACAATAAGACATCATTTCACACCCAGTACTGAATAGCTATTGTTTAAAAAAAAAGTGTTAGTGAGGATGTGAAAAAATAGAAACTCTAGTACATTGTTAGTAAAAACACAAAATAGTACAGTAACTGTGGAGAACAGTTTGACAGTTCCTCCAAAAAAAAAAAAAA